CATATTTTAACTGTAGAGGGCAGTATTTTTCTGTGCTTTTGGACCTTTTGGCATTTTTGAAATTATTTATATATATTTATTTCTTTATTAATAGTGGTCCGATAACTAAATTGTGTCTTTTGGTGTCTTAGAGTTGGAGAAAACACATACAATGCTGATTTAATACAAGATTTCCATAGTATTGGTTACTGTTGTTCTAATTATTATTACTGACAAAATGTCAGGCTTTTCCTGTGTGCTATACAATGAAGAGGCAAGACATTACAGTAATCAAACTTACAGTCTAAATTTATATTTATTTTGTACTGGCCTACAGGTGCCTTTTGGAGGGAGCTCTTACTTGTATATGACTGTTGTTTTTTTCATACATTATATAGTGAGGGTATTAAAAATATATGCAAAACAATTTATTAATAATGACAAAATCCCCCCAACCCACCCCGAAAAAATCAACAAGTCATATTTGAAATTCTATCCATGGTGTGCAGTTATCTATGTTCTATATCACTAGTTAGCTTTTCAGATAAGGAATGAATTGCAGGCGCAGCAAGGGTTTTTGGGATTTCTACGTCAATTACCAGTTTTCTGTTGTTATGACATCATAATGTTATGAAAACTGCAATAATTACACTTTCAGGGTTAAGGGTAGTGGGAGTTGGCACCCAGACCACTCCAATGGGCAGAAGTAGTCTGGGTGCCTGGAGTATCCCTTTAAGTTAAGTGCATCTCTTAATGGGGGGCTCCTCCCTTAAACTCTGGGGGTGCACTCCAACTCCAGGCTGAGTACTCCAGACGTAGGTAAAGAAATCAGCTCTCAACAAGTTGCTCCAGATAGTAGGTATAAGCACTACACTATTTTATTGGATGGTTTATTTATGGTGTTTTGATAAAAAAAAAAAATTAAAAAATTCCGAAGCAAAGCCCCGGAAGACCATGCACCAAGCCCTCAAGTAAGTCGAGCGAAACCGGCCTCCGCCTGTCAGGGACACTGCACCCCTTCTGAAAACCATTCAAGGCCTGCCGAATGATAAAGATTTTGGTATAGTCCTCCCAACCCCCGAAACTTAAACCAAAACGACATATGCCGATCCACGACCACAGGGGACAAAACCTTTGCCAAGATATACCAGAGCAGCGCGTCCAACCTGGAACCCCGTTCCACCTCCCTGTCCAACCCTGCAATATACTGCTCCCAAGCATCCAAAACCTTACAGTAGGCCAGTGCTGACCTCACGAGTCTCCCAAACAAGCCGTTCCGAGACTCCACATCTCCCCGAGGCATTCCTGACCTTCTGCCATCATCTCCGGTGCCTCCTTCCGAAATCGGGACCACTGCGAACAAGACAGAGCATCAGCCACCACATTCAAATAACCTGGCACATGACGTGCGGAGAACACCAAGTTAAACGACATACAGAGCAACACAAAACGATGCAAGAGGCGCACCAATGGGGCAGAAGAAGCCAATAGATTATTAACCATAAACATGTTGTCTGTGTAGAACACCACCTTCGGATCCCTGAGGAGATCACTCCAGAGAAATAGAGCCACCAACAGAGAGAAGAGCTCCAGGAAGGCCAAGTTCCGCATCCGCGGGTCACCGGCCAAGTCGCAGCACACCACCGCCCCCTGAAAAGACCACAAAACCTACACTGTCCGAGGCGTCTGTGTACAGCTCTAGGTCCGCTGCCGACACCGCTGCCCTGCGAAAGAATACCCATTAAAGTGCTCCAAGAAGGGCTTAGAGATCCGAACAAAATGATGCAGAGACCGAACCCCCGCTGTTGCTCGTGAGAGACTGCGACTGAAAATCTGCCCCATCGTGATCACCCGACACGCATAGTTAAGTTTCCCTATCAGCGACTGCAGCTGCTTCAATGTGACTTTTCGAGACTGACAAACTCCTGTCACCACCTCCCGCAGTCTCAGGAGTTTTTCCTGGGGAAGACGACATTCCCCCTCGCAGGGAGTCGATTCACATAAGCCCCTTTCGGTTGCAAAAGATGATGGATGAGACTGTACTTCTTCACTTCCTTCTTAGGAACCACTCCTAATGGAGACAACCGCAGGCCGGGCAGTGGGGGATCCACAAATGGCCATGACATCTGACCCAACTAAACCTCCTTGAAAAGCTTTTCCTGAACCAACCCCGCAAATTCCCCCACCGACTTTAAGTTATGAAAGCTCTAAGCAAACTCTCCGTCCCGAAATGGTATAACAAAACCATGCTTAAAACCTGAACGCAACAGTTCCGCATTGCTCAATTTAACGTAGAGGCTTAGCCACGGCAGCATTGCGTTTAATTTCACAGGTGTTAGGCCCCGAGGCAACGGGTGCTGTCCCGAGCGCAGAGGCACCCTCCGCAGCACCGCTCCTCTCTTTTTTGAAACATTAGTGCAGTGCCACTACATCCGGAACATTCATGCTTGTACTTGTAGGTAGCGCCCCACTGGCACTGCCCCTCGTTAAAGAGCCACCAATCCCCTTTCTATGAGAGGCCGACGCAGGGTACTGACCCATGTGCCGGCCGCATAGTGAAAGGAAAACGCCCTCTGAGCCATCATCAGCTTCATCTACAGAGGGAGATCCATTTGCCATCCGGCACGAACCACGCCAACTCCGGCCTCTCACTCGCCAAATCCACCGCTGCCACAGAAAACGACCCCTCCACTGTGGCACCCTCTTATAGGTGACTTAGGCCTAGGGCGCCCCTTAGGAAGCCCTGGCCCCCCTCATGCTGCAGCCACCAGAGCGCTCTATAGCGCTCTATAGAGAGCCTCAGGCAGCTGCAGCTCTGCCCGGACCGGCACGTCCATAAGGACGCACTGGCTCCGGCGACCAAGAAAAGAGGGATCGGCAGGAGGGAAGCATACAGTGCTCCCTCCTGTCAGTCCCTTTGTTGTAGCATGGCCGAGCTCTGGTCCAGTCTGCGGTACAGGAGAATCCGTTTCCTGTACCCGGCCGGACTGACAGGAAGTGCTCAATTCCTGTCACTTCGGCCGGGTACAGGAAACAGAAGCTCCTGCCACGCTACAACAGAGGTAGGGGAAGACCATGAGGGGGGGAGACCATGTAGGAGGAGGGGAGGGTGACCATGGGGAGGAGGGGTGGGAGAGGGAGGGGTGGGTGTGAGGGATGGAGGAGAGGGGAGGGAGGAGAGACCAAGGGTGGGGGGAGAGAGAGACCACTATGGGAGGGAGGGGGGTGGAGGAGAGACCACTAAGGGTGGGGGGAGAGGAGACACCACTATGGGGTGAGGGGGGATGAGGAGAAACCACTATGGAAGGGAGGAGGTGGAGGTGAGACCACTATGGGAGGTGGGGGGGATGTGGAGTAGAGACCACTATGGGGGGAAAGGAGAGACCACTAGGGGAGGGGGGTGAGGAGAGACCACTAAGGGTGGGGGAAGAGGAGAGACCATTAATGGAAAGGGGGGAGAAGAGGAAAGACCACTAAGGGAGCTGCCGTCTGAGAACTCCCACTTGCCTGCACACTGTCGGGCCCTCCAAGGGCCAGGTCCTGTGCTGCACCGGCTCCTGTCTCTACCCAATCCTTCTACCGACCACCAGGGGGCGCCCGGTCTCCACTGTCCCCTGTGCCTGGCACACTTCCTTGACCTACCCCGCCGACTGCAATCCAAGCGTGGCTCCCACCGATCCCGGAGTCGCGCTGCCTGGCAGTGATGGGCTTGCCACTGCAAACAAGCACCGCCCCCGGGCACGTGTAGCATCTGGTGGGGCCTGCTCAACGCCACCAGTGCTGGTTCCAGCACTCACGACGCCTCCGGTCCCAGCACCCTCCACAACCATGGGACCCGGTCTCAATTGTTGCGGCGGTCTCCGCTGTCGCGCTGGATGCTGGCCCCTGTGGCCTTCTTGACCTTCCGTCTCCAGGACCGCTCCGAGCCGCTCCCGCAGCCACGCAGTCCACCTGTCCCGTGCTGCTTCCTGGATCCCGGCCATCAGCTCCTCCAGAGACCACTCAGGTATCCTGAAAAAGAAAAAACACACTTACCAGGCCCAATCAATGCAACAAACACCAACTCAGCATGGTAAGTCAAATAAGTAATGGGGATTTCTAAAATGGCCGACATTTATATCAGCCCAACTCCTAAACCCTACCCACCAATCAGGCTCCCCCTAAGACCTCTGCTAAGCTGCGCTTTTCTCCTTGGGGCTATAATTTTGTTGTATTAGTAGCGCTCAGGCGAGGTACAGTCTCCCCGCACCCCCACACCACCCATAAAGCACCTTTTTTTTTTTTTATTATTATTCTTTATTTTAGTTGTGCATGGAAAGTTACAAACAGCACACTCTGCCCTAACAGCTAGGGCATGCGGATCTTCAATCATAGGTTTACATAGGTTAGGCAATACAAATCATAGCACATTTTTATGAATTGTTGTTGCACAACTGAAAGTTGCAACCATTCTTGTTATTTCTGAGGGTGATGAACAAGGCTAGTGAAACACATAGTATTATAAAATTATCGTAGACTGCCTGTTATGCGTGCAAGAAAAGACACTTATAGGTTAATTAACGTATTGCAGTGCCCCCAGGGCAAGTGGTACACGTTTTATCATTTAAAGGCAATTATAGGAGTCTGCGCTTTTTTTCAAGATTAAAACGAATATCAATACTAGTGTAACATACATGCGTAAACAGCTACAAGATAAACTTAAAAAACTTATATTGGTTAGCTGTCATATGATATGCTTAATATTGTAGTATGTTCAAGCTAGTTGTGGGTTAATCACATGTGTGTGTGTGAGGGTACAGGCTAGACTACGCGTCAGTAAGGTTTAACAGAATTCAAAGGACTAGGCATGGGTGGAGCCTCTCATCTCAACAGTGGTGTGTGTCTAATGTATTTGGCTGGTGTAGTTTAGTCCCCATAAGCATCCCCTCTATAGCAATGGCTACTCCCCGTGGCAGCCCCAGTGTATCCCATAGGTAGGCACAGTCACCAAAGGTCCCATGAGTCCCGTCAAGTGGCCCCTCTCAGCCGATGCCCCCACGTGGCAGTTGATGTGCAAGCCTCCCGGTGAGCTGTCGCAGGGCATTTCCAGCAGGTGCCTGGTGGTAGTGCAGAAGCTCCTTTGCGGTCAGCCTGGCTTTAGGCAGTGCCACTCTCTGTGGGGACTTCCTGGTGGACCTCGGCGTCCTCTTTGTCCGTCGCTTGGGCTGTGTATGCTGCTTGAGCAGACGTTGTGGGGGGTCCTTCCTCCAGTGTGGAGCTGTAACCTTTCTTGGTAAGCTCTGATGCAAGGGAGTATTTGGCTGTGTAGCGTCAGGCAGATTCACCTTGCTTTCTAGTCTCCGCCAGAATTTCAGGAACAGTATGTCCAGCCGGGTGAGTATGTCATCAAGGATAGAGTTTGGCGCTGGGAGCCATGTGGAATCCGCCATCTTGGATTGACCGCCGCAGGGTGCACCTGTAGCCGGGGGCTTGATTGCTGGGGATGGGCTGCCTTCTGAGGGTGGACCGGGATCACCCACACCGGTCCAGGGGGGGGGCTGAGGGGCTCCGGTTCAGGCTTATCGGCAGCCAAGTTGCTCCGAAGCAGGGGATCGGCCGCTTTCCCCGTCCGGCGCCCGCCAGGCCTCTTTTCCCACGGAGGCAGCAGGACCGGCGTCCCGAGTTGCCAACCTTCTTTCCGCTTTGTCGGTAAGTCAGGTAGCTTGGGTGTCGAGTGGCGTTGCTCAGATCGAGCTGTAATGGGCTGTATAGTGCTGTTTTTTGCATATTGGTGGAGGAGCTCCTCCGAGATGCGTCCTGCCGCCATGATGGTTAGGCCCCCCCCATAAAGCACCTTTTAAGAGATTAAAGCGTTATTGTATAATGCAATTGCTGAATTTCACCCCTTTTTTATTAAAATTTTTTGTCAATGGCAAACATGTTTCTCTCTTTTACGAATTTGGAGGACTTGTATCCTGAGGTACAGAGACTGTCAGCGACTTTATCCTTTACTCTGGAAATACAATGCTACATTAGATTTTATTGATATTCATTGCTTTTCCAGTAAACTTAATTATGGAATTGCAAAATGTTGACCAAAATAGTATGGTTTAGTTTTTTTAAAATAAATTTCTGAAGCCTATCAAATGATGAATTAGAATTATATCCAGGACCCTAAGACCAATATGCTTCATTGCTTTGCACCAATGCAGTATACATGCTTACAGCTGCCGAAAGTCTTTTTCCACCAAACCACTGACACCTTTCCACCTGCCTGTATAGGTTTAGGATTTTCTGTTGCAGCATGTTTCAGAATGAATGTAAGTATATATCTGTATTTGACCACCTGTCTATTAAATGCAAACATCCCATTTCACTTCACACTGGATGCCAAACAGCTGACAGGGAGCTAATTTTTTCAGTCCTAAATGATAGCTCTGTCTGTCGATCTGTAACTGAAAAAATTAATAACACATTTGAACAATTAATAACATTTAATAACATTTAATAACATTTTTTTTTGTGCAGGTAGTTACAGGGTATCAACAAATGCCACAACAGCATATTTCAATATTTGCGAAAGTTAGGCAGTGGCATGAATATTTGCACATTTTTCTTTATATATCTATTACAAGCTTATCTAAACAGCTATATTGTAAGTAGTCAATGTCTAACAATGCTAGAGTAGTTTTGCTAGTGTAGCTGTCTTATGAGGCAAGTACTTATTTGCTTAGGCATTGTGTACAGGCTTAATTGTGGGTCTAGGCATATAATCTGAGGATGTATACGTGTAAGGAGAGTTGCCTAGGGTTGCAGAGTGGCTGGCTAAGCGTATGAACATAGAAAAGCATATAAAAGCAAAAGAAATAAAGGTTACTGGCAATTTGCACAGTGCATCAGAGTCACTTGAGGGGGAGACCATTGAATCCTGTGTGCGTTTTACGACTCTCAGTGGTCAGTTCAGCCGGTGGCCGCTCGCCTCAGTTAATCTGTCCTGTTTTGTTTTAGCTGAGACCCACATTAGGTATGTTCTTGCTGTGGGCTGATGGTGGTGGGGGCAGCACACTCCATCTTTTTGGCCCCTGGACAGTTTGAGAGCTGGCGTCGTGGGCCCCACAGGGGAGCGTGGCTGCTGTTGGTCTGTATCAGCCGGTTGTGCCATGTGGTGGGTGTCTGCCGCCGGCTACTTCGTGCATGCCAGGTAGGACAGGGATAACCCCCGCCGGTCCTAGGGGAGTGGGGACCACATTAGTCGAGTGTTACTGCCAGTTAAAGCTGGAGGAGAGCGGCCGTCTCTCCTCAGTCTAATCACTGGTAGGCCGCAAAGCCTCAAGTTGGATTTGCCGGTGGAGTAGAGGTCTGTAAGAGGTATCCTCGGAACCGCCGGCATGTCAGGATCAAGCTGGATATGGCTTTGCAGCCCAGTAGGTACTCTGTTTGGTAGTTTTGTTGAGTTTAATGTGCCAGACGCAGGAGCTCATGCAGCACACGTCTGGACTGCTCTGTAGCCAGGCTCCGCCCCCCTTAATAAATTTTTTTATATGAGACACAACCAAAGTAAGCAAAAACAAACAAAACAAATAGAGGACAATATCATATAAGCTTCTCAAGCAGTTTGTTAAAGGTGATCTCAGTGCCGCCATCAGGGGGTGTCAACCATGACGATTGTCACAGGTCCATTAATAAAAATATTTTAAAAATACCCCCCACAGTATTTGTCTAACATAAAGACACATTCACTATGCACACACACACACATCACCACATCACCACACAAACTGCATCCACTACACAAAAACACACATAGCATCCACTACACAAACACACAAACTGCATTCACTATACACACTCTGCAGTCACTATACACACTGCATCTAATACACACAAACACTACATCCACAACACATGCACACTACATCCACTACACAAACACACCCTGAGTTCATTATATACACTCTGCATTCACTATGCACACAAACACTACACCCACTACACAAACACACTGTATTCACTATACACACAGTATATCCACTACACAAACACACACACTACATTCACTACACAAACATACACTCTGCATTTACTATACATACACTACTTACACTAAACATACACACACTCTGCTTTTACTATTCATACACTACATCCACCACACAAACACACACTCTGCATTCACTATGCACACACTACATCTACTACACAAACACGCATTCTGCATTCATTATACACACTACATCCACTACAGAAACATACACTCTGCATTTACTATACATACACTACTTACACTAAACAAACACACACTCTGCTTTTACTATACATACACTACATCCACCACACAAACACACACTCTGCATTCACTATGCACACACTACATCTACTACACAAACACGCATTCTGCATTCATTATACACACTACATCCACTACACAAACACACACTCTGCTTTTACTATACATACACTACATCCACCACACAAACACACACTCTGCATTCACTATGCACACACTACATCTACTACACAAACACGCATTCTGCATTCATTATACACACTACATCCACTACACAAACATGCATTCTGCATTCACTATACACACTACATACACTACACAAACATACACTCTGCATTTACTATACATACACTACTTACACTAAACAAACACACACTCTGCTTTTACTATATATACACTACATCAACTACACAAACACGCATTCTACATTCACTATACACAAAAAAAATCCACTACACAAACACGCATTCTGCATTCATTATACACACCACATCCACTACACAAACAGGCACTCTACTTCCACTATACAAACAATACATTCACTATACAAAAACACTCTGCATCTAGTACACACAAACATACAATCTGCATTCACTATAAACACCGCATCCACAACACACACACTCTATCTACTACACAAACACACTCTGCATCTAATACACACAAACATGCAATCTGCATCCAATCTAAACACTGCATCCACGACACACACCGCATCCACTATACACACACCAAATTCAGTACACACAGTTCATCCTTGTGGGTGGACTCAAGATAGGCCCTGTGGTTGGACTCAAGGGCAGGCCATGTGGGCAGACTCGGGGGGCGGGTCATGTGGGCTGGCTCAGAGGCCCAGACCTTGGGCTGCATCAGGGGCCCCAAATTTCCGATGGCAGCCCTGGGTGATCTCTATGTATCTATAATTCAAGTATCTAATCTAAGAACAAAAAGTCATTGTGTGTCCAGAAAGCAGCTCATGCAAAAAACGGCTCTCCAAAATCCACTGTGCAAGGCCAAAGGCATAATTTGTTTGCCAGCTTTGAGGGACATCAACCAACAAAGCCCCATAGATATTATACTAGAACACTGCCTGGGTATGCAATGGCACCCATTACAGTGCCCATCTTCAGGCACATGGTCAAGGCATGTTTTGCTGGTATATTACAAAATGTCTATGAGCGTCCATCGTCTTTCCCTCATTTGTTTACTTGAAATTATTTTCTAGGTCACTTGAATTTCTGCTTGTGGCAAACAATAGGGATTGTGGCTCTTGATATTATTGACTTCTTATTTCTCCAAATTGTATTTGATACCCAGCATCTAAACTATCTAGCTGATTGCCGTGGTCCAGCTGTCATGGTGCAAGGTAACATTGGCAATGTACACTTTATGTAAAGCTGATTTGTGAATTGTAGAGAATACTTCAGACAGGTCATTGTAAATGGTTAAAATTCTTTAAGTCTAAACTGAAACCAGCTGCCCCTTAGATTGGTCTCAGCAGCTGATTGACAAGGTGAAGAAGTTTCTCCTTCTCTTACCTTTCCAAATAAAGATAGGTATTTATGTCTGACACGTAAAGGATTCTGTGCTACATTGGGAAGCAATAAAGTCATTTCCAACAAATGCATAGATTGATACAGAAACCTACTTGATGATCTGTTATTTTCCCAAGAAAATGTAACTCACCCCAAATGATGCACATGGCATTTCATAATGCCATAACACATGCAATCTAGGGGACACTTATATGTTTTATGGCCTCCATGTAGGTTTGGAACTTTGCCACCACTTCACTGCAATGTGAATTTAAAAATGAATGTATTGAATATCCATTTGGCTAGCACAGTTTACAGTTAAACTGTGCAGCTTTTCAAAGCATAAATTGGTCAAATTTGTTGCAGTGGCAGATCCAAGGAAGGAGCATTGCGGCAAATGCTTTTAAAAGAAGCCTGTGTAATTATGTATGACTGGCCTCAGGACAGGCGCTAATTGATGGGTCTCTCCAACCCTGTCCCTAAATTACTGCATCTAAGTTATTAAAATATTTTTAGAAATTCCATGGTCACCACTTGTTGAGTTTTACACTCACAGGTGGAAAGGGGGCATTTAGTTGATTTGCCAGGCAGGAATCAGGATATCAGTGTCAGAGCAGACGTTGCATGCCTAAATGTGTGTAGATGCCCAGCATCTAAACTATCTAGCTGATTGCCGTGGTCCAGCTGTCATGGTGCAAGGTAACATTGGCAATGTACACTTTATGTAAAGCTGATTTGTGAATTGTAGAGAATACTTCAGACAGGTCATTGTAAATGGTTAAAATTCTTTAAGTCTAAACTGAAACCAGCTGCCCCTTAGATTGGTCTCAGCAGCTGATTGACAAGGTGAAGAAGTTTCTCCTTCTCTTACCTTTCCAAATAAAGATAGGTAACTATATGCATATTTATACATTTGTGCATCTGTATTTTAGAATTCGCCACATATCTTTAATAAAATGGAAAGCAGATAAAAAAAATGCATGCATAAAAAAAGCAACCCACCAA